TTATTATTTAATAATTGAATTGTAATATGATTAGACTTCAACATATCATTTGGAATATTTTAAAAAGTTTTCTGAAAATAAAATATCTCATCATATATATTCAATGGGCAACTACAACATATGATCAAATATTTAGTTTCCTGTAAAGATGTTCCAAACATTATTTTCTGAGAAGCATAAAATTAACATTAGGTATTAAGAACAAAAATCAATGAAAAGTTTTTGGATCAATGTTCATCAGAAGAAAAAGAAAAAAGAAATGTATTACTTCCATAAGCTATTTTGGTGCAGGCCTTCCTTTAACAATAGTCGATGGAGGATCCACTTTTTATTAAACTTTGTCGGAAGTTATGTCATGCATATGTTTTATCATCCATGAGAAGGTTGACACTAGCATTGTTAAATGATAAATTACATAAATCGTTTATTTTATTATTTTATTGTAGATGGTAATTATGACTTGTTCTTTATCATCACTATATTGGAGAATAATTTAATATTAAAATTTACGTGATTTTCTTTTTTTGGACGACGATCTATGAATTGTGATGTTACACATATTGCGTAACAATATGTATATAAATTTTTTTTTTAGATTTAAAAAGTGAATTAATACAATAATGGAGGATATTGAAATTATTTCCAGAATTGAGGTTGGATTTAACATTAAATGATTTAAATGTCCTTATAAATAATGCATAAATCAAAAGAATTAAATAATTTACACATTTGAATCATTTGAATCGAAACTATTATTTTATAGGAATCAGCCCCACCCCTTACGGAAGCAAATGTATTAGAAGAGATTAATGAAGCAGATCTATATACAAAATTAAAAAAGCTACAACGACACCTTGAATTCCTTGAATTGCAAGAGGAATATATAAAAGATGAGCAGAAGAATTTGAAGCGTGAACTTATCAGAGCTCAAGAAGAAGTGAAACGAATCCAATCAGTACCGTTGGTTATCGGACAATTTTTAGAACCAATCGATCAGCACACAGGAATTGTAGGTTCTACTACAGGTTCAAATTATGTTGTTCGAATCCTAAGTACTATTGATCGTGAATTACTTAAACCCTCTTCATCAGTGGCTCTTCATCGTCATTCAAATTCATTAGTGGACGTGTTGCCTCCAGAAGCAGATAGCAGTATTGCTATGCTTGGGACTGATGAAAAACCTGATGTGACTTATGCAGATGTCGGTGGTCTTGATATTCAAAAACAAGAAATTAGAGAAGCAGTAGAGCTACCATTGACTCATTTTGATTTGTATAAACAAATTGGTATTGATCCTCCACGAGGTGTTTTACTTTATGGTCCCCCAGGGACAGGAAAAACAATGCTTGTTAAAGCAGTTGCGCATCACACAACAGCTTCTTTCATTCGTGTAGTGGGATCAGAATTTGTGGTGTCTGTACTTTTCCGTTTTTCTCCTGTTGATTTATCCAACATTCGCATATTAATATTTATTCCATGCATCATTTACTTCACTAGACTTGAAAAAAAATGATGTTAGATTGGAATAATTGAATGAGAAGTATACGCAAATATTCCAACTATGGTAGGTTCTAAAGTTTCTTTGTTGTTGTAGAGGAAGATACATAGCAAACTCCTTCTCTAAAGTTGGCAGACTTCTCAAAAAAAAACTGGAATGACCAGATTCAGGGGACCACACCCCTATTGTGATGTAAGCATAAGTACAATTATGCAGACTTGCAGTAGTCATGCATCCAAGTTCAGCTACTTATGGGATACCCTTTATTGGTGCGTAGGCAATAAAGACGCAAGAGCCTGGCAAAAAACCCCGCCCTAAATACATCTCATTTAAGAAATCAAATGAAATATACAGAACTTACCTTCTTTTTCAAAAGTTCTCGAGAAAAATCACGGAATTCTTGTGAAATTTTTTGATCTCTGCTTATAAGATTCAAAGCCCTATAAAAATACAAGGTGAGCTGATCTTTTGTTCGCATTTCTAATCACCCAAATGTTATAGTGAGAAATTGACCAGGTCTTGTAAGGAAAGATCTCAAGGTAACTCGTGTAAGGAACTTTCCATTTTTTTCATTTCTTCAAGTGCTATATATAACAAAGAAGAAACTCCAATAAGTCGCATTACAAAATAGTCCCATAACTTAGAACCTATAAGGTTATAACATACCAGAGGAAAGCTCCAAATTCCTTGTTGCAGGTGCTAATTTCCCAACGATTGTGTCATAATCTTTTTGCTTATGCAAATATTCGATTAGTTGCTCCGTGTTATATTTTTGGCCCAATTCTGCCAAGATGCTTTAGTTGAAGTAGAAATCGGTTTAGTTAAAGTCAGATGACGACGGGTCAGTTTGTATATGTTCAATATGTGATATAACTAATTCCGGTCGTTTTTTAATATATATTAATATATATAGTAATAGATTACTGCTGCAACTGGGACAATCCTTTCCCAAAAAATTTAAAGATCACCAAATTTGAAAAGGGAAAAACATCTTAAAGATTGATAAAAATCATTTTCCTTTTATTCTTAATTATTTTATATTTATATTTTACATATTTAGAAATTTATAAAAAACTTTCAAAAAAAAAAATTTATATTATTATTATTATTATTATTAGACAACAGACAATAATGATAATAATAAACAAACCTTATTCTAAAAATCCAAAAGGAATATAATTTATCAAATAACAATAACTCTTGTTATTGTTGTTATCATTATAATGATTAATCGAAATCTTAAAAAAATGTTATTTTTTCTTTATTCCTTTAAAAGTTCTCTTGGATTTAGACTTTGTGATTTTATTGCAATTTTCTACTAATTTTAGGAAAAAGAAAAGCAATTTAGGATAAAAAGGAAAATAAATAGTTGAAGTAAATTAAATTAAGGAATACTTTTTCCGTTAGAAGTCAATAAACCTAATGCAAAGGTTATCAATATAATAAAAATCGCATATATTAATTGAGAAATATCCATTTCTTTCTCTTTCTTCCTTTCTTTCTTTCTTTCTTTTCTTCTCTCTTTCTATCTCTGGATTTTTTTAAAAATCAAAAATAAATTTTATTTTTAATAAAATAAATTACTATTTATATAAACTAATTAAGAATATATAAAATATAGGAATATAGATAAAATCTTCAAAGGCGTCAATTGAAACATTTGCTTGATATCTTATGACTTAATTGTTGACATGAAAATTATAAACAATTGTTTAATGCATATGATAATTAATTCTTTAAGCATTTATAATCCGTGTTAATATTTACATAATAATAAAATTTAATGATATTCCACATAAATCACCCACACACTAAAAAAGGATATGAATTTTACACAGGTTGTTTTAAGATCATATGAATCTTTATATTTCATTCTTGAAACAGGAGCTTTAGTAAAAGAGGGAAAAAAGTAAAGTTTGGTTATTGGAAATCAAAACATTTTGTTTTTCCTCAGTTAAATAGCAAGCGATTATATAGTTTAAGTGTAAATGTAATATGATATAATTGATGTGTATATGTTTCCTAATATAATAATAATACATCGTGTATCAATTTTTGTTACAAGGGTTTGACTAATTATTTTCAAGCCACAACTTGATAATCCCAATTTCTATAATCGAGGTTTCTGAAATAATCTTAGAATGTAAAATAATTCTCAATTAGGAATTTTAAATCTGGTCAATTGATTTAATGGAATATTTATTGAATCTCGAACATAACTTGAGATTTAATTGAGAAAAAAAATCATTTTTATATAATCTATTACTTATATTGATCAAGGAAATCAATTTGAAAGTAAAAAATATAAATAAGCTTAATGACGTATAAATAGTTCTCTATAAATAATATAAATAATATACAACAATGTTATAATAAATATAATTTCAATATAATATATAAATATTATAATTTATGATATATAATTAAAAATGTTTTAACTAGTTTTTTCTATTGTTTTGTTTTTAATGCTCCTTACTCTAGTTTCAAGATAATCATAAAATGCGGAATAGAGCGTGGGTAAGATAGGAGGAAATGGCACATTAGGAAGAATAATTATATCTCTTTAAAACCAAAATAAAAGGAATATAAGTAAATGAACAAATAATTAATAGCAGGTAAATAAATAAATAAATAATACCTTCTCCAATAATTCCACCAATAATCAGATTTTGTCATTCTACCAAAACAAGTTATCTCATCGGGAGAATAGAAATTTATTCCCCAATTATTATTTCCTATGAAAGTTGCTACATGATAGTAGTCTTTTTCACTTGCATTGACACATCTTCTATAGATTCTACCTATATTTATATTATCATTCTTCCAATTAATTTTATATTCACAATATTCAGGATGTGTTTTATTAGAATCTTTATTGTTGATGCTAAGACTTGTTTTTGGTAATGAAATAAATCCATTATTTTCAAAGTCAATCTCTTCAATCTCTGCTAAAGTTGTTATTACCATGTTAACAACACTTCCATTCTTCGAGTATCTGTATTCATAAACTTCATAAATTCCATAATTAAAGGCTTTTCTAGAAATCACTTTAGCCAGTAATGGGAAATCATCTTGGCTGTCATCACTTTCATTATATACTCCTTTGGGCAGCAAAGGCTTAATGCTGTAGCCCCAATATCGAAAACTCGATGAGTATATTTGATATTCATACGGAATAGTTGTAACATCTGCTGGCAATACAGAGACAGCTTCATCATTAGACAATAGAATTAATAATAAAATTATGATTAATAGTATATAACATAACCAAGTAATTAATGCATTCTGCCTCCAATCGTCATCATCATTATCATGTCTATTATTATTACCATAATGATAATAATTACTACTATTATGACGTATTAAATAGTCTGATTCATTATTATGTGATGGCATTTTTTTTTTTTTTGAAATTGAAAAAATTTATTTTTTAAAATCTTTTTCCATTTATTTATTATCTATTTTCCGTAGTATAAATAAAAACATTCAACTCGAATTTATATGTGTATGATTATTATTATGGCGCATTAATATGTACAATGTTATTTTAAATTGATCTTCCTATATTTTTTTTTTCATTTAGAACAAGAAATAAATGATAAAATATATTTGATGGTGTAATTGCTTTTTTCAAATCGTCATTTAAAGTACTAATACTTGAATTTTGAATATTATTAATATTTTTTAAAAAGTTTTATTCCTAATTGTGTTCTTGAAAACTCTGAATGTAAAAGCCAGGGATTGTATAGACAAAAGATTACATGGGCAGAGTGATATTTAATTAAAAGTTATGTATGTGATAAATAAAAACAAAAATAAATTGCCATCCATGGAAATAATAGTCGATTTTCCCGAAATTTGTTATACCCATATAATATTTTACATCTCCTCAACCGCTCGTCAAGCTTTATAAAGATAATATTGAAGAATGATCTTGAGTTTAAAGCAAAAGTTTTTGAATAACTATAGCTTTATATATATATAGCCCCTATCAATATGAGAGATGAAGAAACGGTTGTTACATGGTTTGGAATTTTTATTTACATACTAATACTATTACTATATATGAGTTATCAAATGATGCGAGAAGATAATCAATAATAATCAATTTTAAATTGATCGGCAAATCGTATATATAACAATTGATGTATGTGAAATTGAAATTGAAACTGTGGGGCGTTTGGATATGAAATTCTGATTGGCTAATTTGAATTTCACGTACGTGAATTGCAAATTCGCAGATTTTCATTTTCACACACTCACCTACCATAAATATCCGACCACCCAAGTCGTGTAACGTCAAATGAAAAGAGTCCTTACTAAAAAAGTAACGTTTTCTTAAATAAAAACCGTTTTTACTTTACTAAGTAGACTTGTACTTGATATCAAAATCTATAAATTACAAAAGCTTCAAAGGTTCGGTATGGTATTAATGGAAACATTTAGCAAATAATCTAAAAAAGCAAATTTTCAATCGGAATCTTTACATGTAATAAAGGTCAAATTTCTTTATTGTAATGTATATTATTTCATTAATAAAATGTCTCAACGTAACAGATTACATATATCCGCAATATGGTGTTGGCATAAATTAGTTCGTGAAAAGGGGTTAAAAAAGTATCCGACCACCCCGTAATTTTTATTATATAAACACTTGATAAAGTTGACAAAATGCAAATTTTAAGGCTTTACGTTTTGTTGTTTATACTTTATCAAATTTTCTCAAATTTTAACCATATATAATTCAAAATATTTTAAGCGGACTTACTTAATGATGTAATCCATGATTCAACGGAGCTTTGAAGGTTTTTTACTAAGCTCAAAATTTTCATTCATAAAAATCACGGAATTTTTTGTCTAATTTAAAATTTTCATCCTAAATTCATTAATAATGCAAACTCGACGAGACTTTAAGTTTATATGCAAATTAACTTTAAAAAACATGTTTACTTAATGCACCAGTCCCGGTTTGATTAATAAAATTTTGAACTGCATAAGGCATTAAAATGATCATCGGGTGGTCGGATATTTATGGTATATAACAATTGATTTTTTATAAAAATGATAATTATTATTTATCAAAGGAATTATTCCTTACGAAAATAACTATTTCAAAAAAAACTAAAAAACAACTCCTCAAACAAAATCATCATCATCATCATCTACTACTTGAAATTGTTGTGCAGTATCAATAATGAATTTTAAAAAAGCTGCTTTTTTTTTTGTTTTTTTAATCACGGGACAAAGGTAATTTTGTGTGAAAGCTGATATGATTGTGCATCTGATTTTTGTTTTAATGAATTTTCATTATTATGTATAGAGTGAAGATGTCCTATATTCCCTTCTTGTATCCGATAGAAACATGCAATAGATGATAGAAAAAAAAGTGATTTAAAAATAATTTGAAATTTAAATTATTGAAGGAAAAAAATATTCAAATTAGTTAAAGTTATAAACAGTATACCAAATGTTCACTCAAACGGTAAATAAATAGTGGAAATAATTTTCTTATACAATTTGTTCATTACCTTTTTCTTTATTTCAACACTTGATGCCTCCTTCTCCAACTTCTTTTCTTCCAAATGTTTCCTCTCTCCTTCACATCTTTCTATCCCCATTTCCACAACTCTTTTTCAACCTCCCTATGTTCTCCTTCAACCTCTTTTCTGCCTCCTCCAACCTCTTTTTTAATCTTTATAATTAATTTTTATAATTATTAAATAGTACCTTCTTGTCACGTGACTTGAATTTAATACATAAAAGTTAAAAAGTTGTCAAGCACTTACTTGCATGGGAGGAAAATACTCGAACCCAAAGCCATTCATTACCTATTTTTGGGCACTCTGCCAAATATCTAACCTTCACTATTACTACCCTTGATAATTATAACCAATTAAATCAACATCATCGTTGTTTTCATTATCTTCAATTTCCATCTCCTTTCTTCTTTCCTTATCAACCCACTGTTGTAATGTTTTTCTTCTAGGATCAGTTTTTCGTTGATAGGAATTTTTGATTGTGAAAGTTGCAACACTTTTCTCTTTTCGCGAACTTCAAGAGCCATTCTGTTAAAAGAAAATCTACTTTTTTTGTTAAATAGATGTTTAAAATTTTCCCATAGGTTTTCAATTTGAAAGTATTTTTCATCACTAGTAGATTTATTTTTTGATTTTATCTTCCTTGGTTATATTATATTGATTATTTTACTGATCTTTTGATTTAAATCAGAAAGTTGGTTTTTACAAGTTTTATATTGTAGCAAAAAACCAAGCAAGAGTCCATGCTCTTCTAAAACTAATTTTATTCCTTTGGGTCTTCCACATAATTTGGGATCATGAAAGTCATCAGGAAAATTCATTGAAACATTTTTTTTGACACAAATACTATAATAGATATCTTTCTTTATTAAACAAAAATAAAATTGTGTTTAAAACTATAATCAATAATTGAATCTTATGTTTATTTGTGACGTTTGCTTACCTTGTTTGCAATGACAATAAAGCAATTCCTTTTAGAACGAAAAATTTAATAAGAAATAGGGAGCGTTATTTTGATATAATCATTTCGTTTTAGTAGTCTTGAATCTCTTTAGATTGTTGTCCTCTAGTTTTCTTTATGCAATATGACAATCATTAATTAATGTTTTCAGATTAAACTAATTATAAGTATCAGACAAGAAATACCATTCCCAAGCATAGTAAAGCCTTGTTTTTTCTCGGAAAGAAATTTTTTTAGGTTGTGTATATCTTTACTTATTTTGTTATCTTTTTGGCCGGCATTATCTGGTTATCTTTATTTAGAAGGCCAATCAATTTAAATCTAGGCCATAAGTATCTTTTATTTCCCCAGTAGATCAAATAAATTTATTCCAAGAATTTTTCTATGCATATGTTTCTTCAAAAGTTGGCAAGTTTCAATTAAGCTGGTAAACTCGCATATAAAACCAATTCTTTTCTGTTTTGTCTAATTTTAAAATTATACTTGAATCCCCCCACTGAACATTCATTTGGCTTTTCTTTCTTGATAATCTTACTTTTAGAATAATGATACTTTAAAGTTCAGATAAATTGTTGCAGTTTAATTACTTTCATAAGTGAATTTCATAAAAAGCAAAATCACATTTTATTCATTCAAAAGCTCCATATTTTGTTGAGAATTAAAACATTTCAAGGTTCATAGAAATAATGATTATTTTATAGAATATTTTACTATGAATTTCCTATGAATTTCCTAATAATGATAAAGAGATAATTGATTACCAGGTAACAAATGGAGTAAAATGAATAATTTGAAATTTTAATTCAGAAATGTGTTTAAAGTTAGATTCTGTGTTTTTAAATATTAAGGTGATTCTGCATTTTCTGAGAAAATCATTGATTGTCCATGTGACACTTGATCTACAATGTCCAGTGACTGATAATCAAAGTTGCACTTATCAATACATTTTCCTATATATGCTGGCTGTATTATTGAAAGGGGGGAATAATAAAATTTTGGTGCACTTGTCTGAGGAAGTTTTTTTCAGTCAAATGAGATTAATGGAACTTTTGAATAAGGAATTAAAGCTTGGCCTAAATAATAATATATTTTCTCTTTGAAAAATGAACGAATGTGAATATACTATAAAATACTGAACCAAGCACAATATTAATAATACCACCAGGTAAACCGGATTCTTTAAGAACAGAGAGCAAAGCAATTTTAAGAAAATCAAAATTATTGATTGGGTTGAATTAGAAAACTCATTGTCA